TGAGTAATATTTGATTACACACATGGAACATTCAGATTCTTATGCGAGGAGTTTTTTGACAGTAATTGTAAATGAAAGGTTAATAACTTTGAGTCTTTAATAACTTTATTATATGTCTTCATACTACTACTCTTAATACAAAGGATACAACTTGGATACACCTTTTCATAAATCTCAATTATATGGCCACCATTGATGACATCAGATATAAGGAATATCTTGGCGGTGGTTGGGGCTTCAAGTCATTCACAGATCTTAATTTTTTCAATATTAACCGCATGTACAAATAGTTTTAAAGTGAAAATATTCTTGAACTAAGTCATGTTGAGGTTAATAAACATCTAACGGATAAACGGTTAGGCCCTTGTTGCATCATACATGGATGAGTTCATGTACAGCACACAGTGAAGACCTGATTCCCAGGTGTATAATTAAGTGCGGGGGAAAACAGCCACCTTAATTCACACTGACAGTACTAGGTGGAGTATTTTTGTTTTATATATCATTTCTGAAGTATTTACATATGTGTGTTGTTCCCCAGTTGTTGGCAGCCAACCAGCTGTTGCAGCAGACGCAGCAGCCCTATAGCTACCTGATAGAGACGGTGAGACAAAGAGACACGCAGATCAACACACTGAAGGAGCGTCTTTCCTCGCTCCAGGATGAAGTCAGGTACAGAACACGCCGTTCATAAAGAGAAACACTTCCTTCTATAAAAGAAGGAACTGAACAGAAAATAAAGTCACCACACGTGACCTTTTTTCTAATTGATGGCGATTAAGTCTGTTCTGTCTTGTTTGTCGAACATTTTCTTTGTCAATTTAATTGGTTACATTCTGTGTCTTGTAATTTACTCATCATGGCAGCAGGCTGTAACTACTCGCCCTTGGGCATAACAACCTCCATTTAAACCTTGTCTGTCCATATCACATCTATCTCTTTCTGTCTTCGTGCAAAGCTGATTGTGCAAGAGCCTGTGTATGTAAAGAAACAAAACTTATGTAAACCATACAAAGAGTTTGTCTATGCCCACAACAAGTGAGTGTTTCACATCAGCACACATTTAGCTTCCTGGCACTGACCTTAATCTCCCCTGGCCCCCTCTGTTTTTGAACCTGAGAAATATGCAAACTGACAGACTGCATGTTTTCTCTTGCTGCTCACTACCACTGAGCGCTCACCTGGGGCAAGCAGCAGAGCGAAAAAAAATCCTTTAAAATCCCCATAAGCTTCTCAAACCTCCCCACCTGACAGAGATATTGAAGTCTTCCTGTGGCTGTGCAGTGCCATCTGTTAAACAGCTGATACACCTATTCTTACTTTATGTTCTTCAATCTCTCTCTGTCTTAAGTAATAATTGTATTCACCGTTTGTTTGGTGATATTCAAAGTTGAGGCAGATCTCAGGCTATAAGAGTGGTGACACTGCTGCAGTTTCAAGATTTGCAAGATGATTTGCTTGAAAGCACCCTCCATCACAAGCTCCTGCTTGTATGTTTCACAGCCGCAGGAAGGAACACCTGAACAGTGTTGAAGAGTTTTCTCAGAGAATAAAGTCCTAATAAACTTTCAAAGTTGATGGTTTCATGCCAGTTATTTATGGTCACAGACAGTGCTAGTACACACGAGTGCTGTCTTTTCTTGGCTGATTGGTTTATAGCCAGCATTTCTTGTTGACCGTAAACCATAATAATGCCATTGCCAAGTTTGGGTATATTGCTTTATTACAGAGAAAATAATACCCTGTCTTTAAGAATTTATAAACGTCATCATGTTTCACAGAACCCTTTAAGTAACTAGAACATTACATTAATAACTCTCAGTAAGTACAGTCGTGTTTTTTCGTTTAACTCAAGATCTGCTCTTATTGTTTTTGGTTGTAACCCCAGTTCTCTGAGGAAAGAACGGACCGCACTACAACAGGTGAAAAACAACATGGCAGCCGATCTGGAGAGACTCCTCAACCATCGAGAGGTACACATGATAACAATGCTTCTTTTTTTTAATGTAAATGTTTGATGGTTTCCTCCATGATGACAACAAACTTCTGTTGTCCAATTAACAGTTAAATCCGAGAAATAGTTAATTTAAGACAAATAAAAGCAACTAATCTTGCACTTGAGAGCATGAAACCATTTTATATTTGTTAGGTTTGCTTGAAAATGACAACTGCTTAATCTATTAGCAAATGAGTCACTGAATCTATTTCCATCAATTGTTTAATTGATAAATAATATGAACGTTGCAACTCTTAATTGAACAGGCTTTTAATAGTCAGACAACTTATTTCTCTGGGTTGCAACGTTTCCTTCAAGATTGCGTATGCTCGTATGTGAGTGCATGTTGGGAGTGCGTCCCCCCCCAGCCAGCCGTTTGCTGTTTGAAGTATGTGCCCTGTCACAGACAGCTGTTCCTCTGCTTGGCTGCTTGGGATGCCACTGTTGTGCGTGTGTGTTTCTGTGTATGTGTGTGTGACAGTGCGTGTATCTGACATGCCATTGCTCATGTCCTCAGGGGTGATAAATAGAACCGTGAAAATGGTCCAGAGTCCTCCCCTCTGCCTAACCCCGCAGACCCTTCAACTTGTTGAGCTTAATGCAAGTCGTCCCATAGTTAAAGTTAAGAGGACAAACATGTCAACAGAAAGCAGCAATAAAAATTCCTGGAAACAAACATTGATGCAAATGAATCATCAAATGTTGAGGAAGCATTAGCTTAAAAATATATGATAATTTTTGCATTAAAGGTATTACAATCCTAATAAATATTTGTAAAACATTTCTTATATCAGAATCTAAAGAAAACTCATTGCCAAGTCGTTTTACATACAAGGAATTCAGTTTAAAAAAACAAATATAGAGTTATAAGAACCAATAAAAAAACGATTACATATATAAAAAAAACGATTACATATATTAAAAAAACGATTACATATATTAAAAAAACGATTACATATATAAAAAATGACTCAAATATTACAGCTTATCATAATTTAGTGAGGTAGATCTATGCCGTTTTGAAGAGGTATTGTGCAGAAATGATCAAAAATACAGAGGAATGTTTTGTTCACCCCTGTCGGATTTGCACCCAGCCAAAAAATTATCTGGCGGTTTAGTTGAGATTTTTTTGCATTTTGGAAAACTAAACTCTGAGGTATTTTTCATAAAGATTCATGTTTATTGTTCTGCTATCATTTCCACATCCCTATTTTTCTGAACCATGTGATTCTGCAGGAGTTAGCGGTGATGAAGCAGGTCCTGATCAGCATGCGGTCCGGACAGGGAGACGCTGTAACCCTATTGGAATCAGATAAAGCTGCAGGGAAACACCAGTCCAAACGTATCAACAGGACCACAGAAGAAGAGTCGCCAAACAAACCCAAACCCACTGTGTTTGTAAGAGTCTGACAGGGCAACGCCCTTGTATGAGTCACAGCACCTTAACCTGCCTGGACAGAAGTTCACACAAAGGAGCAATACAGGTTCACAGGAAATAATAAATTGTATTTTTGTCATTTAGTTTCAATTGAGCTTTTCACTACAGTCAGCTGAGCAAATATACACTGTAGTATACATCCTTGAATCATGAGAAAGTCAATTATGTGAGATGTTAAGAAAAGCTCCTGCTGGCACATCCTTTTCTAACATTTTTTCCTCTTTTTTTTTTTCATTTGCAGACAAATAAAGAAGCTCCTAATTGGCACCAAAAGATGAAGCAGAAACCCAAATGAAAATATTTATTTTTATGTTATGACTTGTTTTATTAATTTATCTAGAATTTTCCAATGTAAAAAACTTTTGATATACAAAAGCAGAAACTGTTGCTGGTGTCCGATTGTTTTGTTGTTCTCATCCTTGGTTACATATTGTTCAGAGAGGATAAATTCCCAGCTTACTGGTTCAGTAAGTATTACCTTATATACTCATTCCTGGCAAACTGGCTGCCCAAAAATTCCTCTATCTTGGCACTGTTGTTTTTTATTAGGTCTGTCTATCATTATTTCCTCATCTTTTCCAGGTTTGCAGATAGTGGTGGCTACAGACAAACAGCATTGCAGGAACATAAGCCGCTGATTTGAACGAGCTGAGGCTCCTTTGGCTTTAAATATAGACATAGTAGACATACCTCTATCATTTCAGACCACGTTCTTATCGGTGTCAAATTAAACTCAACCAGAGGATTGCTTAGAGGCTGTGTTGTTCATTTCTTTTGAGCATAAAATACTTCACAAACAACCATTTTGTTTTTTTGTTAAATGAGGATAAAATATAAGAACTTGTTTTTGTAAAAGCTTATTATATCCTACACTGTATACATGTTTTTGTACAAACTAAAATGTGTGAGTGCAGCCCCTTGCAGATGGTATTTTCCATAATAAACTTAGTGATAAACTGCGATTTCTAACACCATCCACGTCACATTAAAAGAATGACCTGTTTAAAAAGTAGTTTTTACTCCTTAATTTGCATATGAAGTTCAGTTTACCTGTCAATGGAAGTGCTATACCCAACCTGAGAATATTGATTTATAATGAGTTTTAAAAAATAGTCTCGGATCGCATTTTAAAGTCTGTATTACCAACTGGTGGTGTGGGGTTTGAAATAACCGGACATTTAGGAGGCATGTGGGTCTAGTTGCTGCCTTAAATTGCCCATTTGTGTTTTATTTGTGTATCTTTTGGGACTATCAGGTTTAAAAAGTGACTTTAATTGCAAGAATAGACCAGGTATTTAGATACAATATAATATTCCTATTAGAGATTATCTATATAAGTATAATACATATTTGATATAAACTAAAAACACTGGAGGGGAACCATGAATTAACCTTGACTTCTACTATGGCTGTGAATGCTGTCTGTCAGGCAGGTCCTGTAGCCTAGTTTACGACACTGTTGTCAGTGTATTTAGATGGAGTAGGGCGGTGGCCAGTGAATGAATGATCAAAGCTTAAACGCTTGATGGGCGGTGCATATGCAGTATTTACACTGGGTCGCTCCGCCCTGTAGCAGGAGATAGAAACGGTCTGTGGGCCGGTGGAGGGATGAAACAAGTGAAGGGGATGTAGCAGACAGGCTCACATTATTAACTCCACCTCACGCTCTCCACCTCGTCGGCTCCACTCCTCTCACTCCGCTGTAGCATCCTCCTTTTAGCAGAAAAGGACGAGCGATCCTTAGCGGCGCTGCACCCGAGCTTCATGGCCGCGACCCTGGCGATGAGCGGCGGCGGGCAGGAGGACCCCTTCTACCCGCTGCAGAAGGCGGCTCTGCCCGCAGGATTCCCCCTGGAAGACTCGCTGTTGTTCGGCTTCGACTGCAAGATCACAGAAACAGACAAGACTGGACACAATGACTACGCACAGGTAAACCGGGTAGAAATCAAACCGACTTGATGTATTTCATTGAATGGGCGTGGCAGATAGGTTGTAGATCCAGTTTATTTAGCTGGCCTCTAAATGTCCATCGGCCTAGCTGATGTTAACCTCCACTTTCTTTTGCACTATGTTCGGTGATTATGCGAGCAGGCTGCGGCCAGCTGGACGGAGCCGCTCCGCCTGCAAACGCAGTCACCGCATGTTTTCTCTGCCAGCCAGTTGGCCACCAGTTGTTGGTCACCCCCCTCACCATCATACCACGCTGACAACAACTGACTCCAGCTCCGGACAGAAAGCTCCCGGCAACTCTGTCCCCAGTTAGCAGGAAACTTGTGCAGCAGAGGAGAGAGTGCAATATAACAGCTGGTGGATCAGGAGCCTAGAAATAGCAGCCCATCCCCAGACTACTGCTACTGCTGCGGATAGAGAGGCATGGGTGTTTCCCTATTCCCTTTCATGTTGCTGTTTCATCCTCTGCTGCAGGGTTTCTCTAACTTTTATACCTGCCTTAATATTCACAGGAAATAGAGTGAAAAAGGCCCTATTTGACATCAAGTTGTCCACCTGTGATTCCAGTTGGATCAGCCCGAGTTTTCTTCTTTAGTCTGTTGTCATAGTTGCAATTGTGGACATTTATTAGGGTTTTTTCTAGTGGTATTAGTTCTTATTTCCATGGCCTGATTCTCAACGGCCTGATTCTCAACTGTTGGCCTCACAGCTGATGGGTTCCTGAGTTCAGCTTCGCAGCCAGAGAGTGAATGTGGAATGTAGGAACTGCCTATTGATGACTACTTGATAAATGTTTTAGCGGTGACTGTCCTATCAAACCTTTGTCTTCTCTAAATAGCGCCTCAGAATGCTTTCATGGTAGCTCATGAGAAGCAAGCTGAAAACATTTGATTCAACCAAAGTTTTCTTCAAAATGAAATGTCTCTAAACTAGACTGTTTTGTTTGTGTTTCTATCTACAGGCAAAGTTTGAGATGGACAGGTACCTCTCCCCTCAGTCTCTACCACTTCAACCTCACCAAAGTCAGCAGAAGAATCAGAGAGACTGTGTGTCCGCGCTGGATCAGTTCTTCACTGACAACCATACAGGGGCCCCCTACACCCTCAACATGAATCTGTACCTCCCCGACGCCGCCTACCTGAGGATGGGCTTGTGTCAGCAGGTGCGGCCGCCTCAGCAGCAGAACCACACAGGTCTCACCCAAATCAAAACAGAATCTGCTCCCCCGTGTTTCTCCCCCAACATCCAGCTGCACTGCTCCAACACAACGCCCACCAGTAGCTGCAGCACATCTGGGCATGGCCCCGGCAGCAGTGCCATGGAAACCTCAGCCATAAACATGACGCTAACAGGGTTGCCGGACTTCACCAGTGTTTTTAACCATGCGGTAGACGGCCGCGGTGATGAGTCGGTACCAGAAGTGTTCATCAAACAGGAAATGTCACCGCAGTTTGAACAACACGCTCTCCACCACCATGACAACAGCGGCTCACTGTTTCAGCTACTGAACTCCGGCTTGGACCATCACCATGGCAATGGTATGGAGGCTCAGCATCATCATCACCACCATCATCATCAGCAGATACAGCACACTTCCACAATCCACACACCTTTCCATGACATGCCGGTAGCTTCTTCTGCGTCTCAACAAGAGCAGACAGCCAAGCCTGCGTACTGCGGCCTGGGTGGCCGGGTGTACACACACCCCCACGCTCAGGCCCACCCCCACTTCCTCCAGCACCAGACGCCCTACCTGCCGCCCTCTCCCCCGAGCTCGGAGCCCGGCAGCCCTGACAGGCAGAAGGAGCTGCTTCACACCATGTCCCCGCCTCCCTCATATGCAGCCACCATCGCCTCCAAGTTGGCAGGCAGCCCCCCTGGGATAGGCCCCGGCCCAGGACCAGGTAGCTTAGCCCTCCCCCTCACCACAGCTCCCACTCCGTCCCCAGGCCAAGCTTCAGGCGTTCCCCAAGTACCTGCAACAACCCCAACTCCAGCCCAGAACACCATGTCTGCACGCTATAACCGGAGGAACAACCCAGATTTGGAGAAACGACGGATCCATCACTGTGATTACCCAGGTCAGAACAATTACACAGCTCTCTGATTCTTCTCACTGTGTGTTTATTCTTAAATTGAGCTGTGGTCAGGTGAATATTTGGTCACTCACAAACTGTAAGAAAAAACAGATCTATTTTGAGACACCCGTGCATTTTTGAAAAATGATATGTTGTGTGTAAAACGATTTCCCAGGCTTATGAGTCACGATATGTACTAGTGCCACAGCAGTGTACACGCTGCACTAGCATTAAAATATTTTGGCAATGCAGAACATCAATCACTGCCTTACAATTAACCTTCTGGTATTATACCTTGCTTTTATTGTCTCACCTCAAATGACTCGGGCACTCTCAAGCTCTCACACATTGTTGTGGCTTTTAAGACATTGCTGGTATGATTGTGGAATGAACATGCATGGGTGTAATTAATTGAATGTTCTCCTGAAGTCATTTGATCATCGCACCACAACACGTAATTTGCATACAGTCACACTTTAGATAGTTGGTTCAGATTGCACTTGTACGATGTGCAGCTACTTGTAGGACATGTAATGTCAACTAGCCTGTGGCAGCGTGTAAAATAGGGATTAAGCCGAGCCTCCTGCAGCATGTTATCACAAGTCCGATGAGGCAGATCCATCATATCCACGCAAGGACACATCCACACTCTAAACAAGTGTATAATATTAGTCTCACTGCAGCAGCTGTTCACTCTTTACATGTTTTCAATATGTGAAATGTAATATTTTCATTTAAAGCCAGAACAGATCAGAAAAACATCTTTCTAAATCAATCAAAATCCTAAATCTTTTCAGAATGTTTCCACGCACACTGTTTATTTTGTGAAAAGGGTCTTGTTTTTCTGTATTTAAAATATTTCGACTTGGATGTCGAAAAAAAGCGTGTGATTATTGGCATGCAGTTTATTTTTAAATACGCCCAAATGAAAACAGTTTTAATACGAGAAGCATGTGTGCCCCTTATTTACACAGTCACGTGTACTTTTGATAAATCAGAATAGCAAAAACAAACGTTTACAGCTTCTGTTGTTCATTAGTTCACATTTCTAGCACTCAGCACATTGGGTAAACGCATATCTGACACTTCTGTTTGTGTTTATCCTTCTCTCTGTTGTCAGGCTGCAAGAAGGTCTACACCAAGTCGTCCCATCTGAAAGCCCACCTCAGGACCCACACGGGTAAGACATTCCTCCAATTAATGCATCTTTTTTAAACGGGGAAAAATACGCTGCCCACGCGACTTGTATTTCGGTATCTGCTCTGGCACCAAGTTGCTAGGCAGAGTGTTGTGTTCCTGGCATGTGTGTGTAAATGTATCCTGCCCCATTCCCATCCTCTGCCCAATATACTATTCCATCAAAACAGGTGGAAGTGACACACTTCTGCCAGGGGATGACTCTCAAACTATGTGGTCAGCGTTAGATGCATGGTGCCGTCTCTCTTAGGATCTGTGAAGACATCAATGTTTGAATGCCTTATTATTGTGTGGATCTTTGAAATTATAAATATGTACAAAAATACCTTCTTGTTCCACTTAGATTCTGGGCAAAATCAACAAACAAGGGCTTAGGTGTTGGGCCCCACCTCACTCCAGCTAACAAAACAAAGCTTCTGTTGATATCTACGCTCTCCTCACTCGTATGGATACACAAACACACACCAATCTCATTCTTACCACTTTAGGATCCAGAGTTTGTTCCACTGCTTGTTCAGAATACTGTTGTGGGTGTGCGTGCCTCACATTTCGTTTTTGGGAACATGACACGACAATTAAATCTGGCGTCATTCATGCTGCAGGCTGATTGTGGTTATTGCAGTTATTATAGACCACAAGATGAGGGCACGCCATGTAAAGAGGGATGTAGCAGCAACTTCCTTATCCTCTCTGCTTTTGTCAGGCCCACTTAGTTATTTTATCCCCCTTTTCCCATCCTTTTTATTCATCTAATCAATCTCTTTTCTCTTTTGTGCCATCCTCCCACTTTCAACACTCCCCCCATTTCTATCTTTGTCTGTTACTCATTCTACTTATCTTATTCAGCTGCTTGAATGCACACTTACACACACACACACACACACACACACACACACACACACACACACACACACACACACACACACATATACATACACCTGTCAGTAATCTGGATGAGATGATTCCTAATGCGTTTTTGTCCCTGTGGGAGTTCCCACTCTAATCTCCATCAACATCCATTACCCTGATTGTTTGTGTGTGTGTGTGTTGCTGTGTGCGTGTGTGTATTGTGAGTTGTTCTCCCGGTTCACTTTTTTTGTGTGTTATTTTATTGTCTCTCCTATTTGTGTTTCAGGTGTGTGTTCCTCAATTTGTTGATGCTGTTGTTCATTTAAATGTCATAATGGCATTACTGTCGCTGTTTTAGCGACGCTGCAAAGCTTGCTGTGCCTGTGTGAGGTTTTGTTCACACAGACGACAAAATAAATCCTATTGTGTTCACTTAACTCTAGTAGTATTCAGCATGCAGACAGATTTATATTTAATTTGTCCAGGTGCCTACATCTCTTTCTGCTTTTACCACATTTAATTCAGGTTTAATTGAGGAAAAAAGGATGATGTTTTTGGTGCATTGAGATTCAAACAATTACAAACAAACTGTGGCTTGCTTTTAAGACACATTTTAATCAATTACATTGTGAAGCAGTATTTGCCAACTTGAAATTGAGCAGCAAATTAAAATAAAAAACTACTGAAAGAAGAAAAGGGATCATAATTCTGTATCAATTGTTACCTGACAGAGCTAAATTCATAGACGTATACCAGTACACAGAAGTACATAATTGTGTTTCCTGCGAAGTCTTGTCCTTGGGCGTGTGATACACATGTTGTTCCATTAATTAAATAAATAATATCACAAGTATGTATGTGGGTGGTTTGCAGAAATCTCAATACCTGGGCCGATAAAAACTAAAATGATCTGCATGGATAGTCACCACTGGTTGATCGTGCCGTGAGTGAATGAGACTATTCACACACGTTTTCCCAAAGTAGCTGGCACTATATGTAAACATTATTGGAATGACAGAGAAACAAACCACATCTGTCAAAGAGAAACGCACAATAGCCAAGTCAGACAATGCTGAGCGTGGGAAACATGAGCAGCGTTTGTGCTTCATAAATGCCTATGACAGCGTGATGACTGTATATGATGGGATGCAACTTTAGCTTTCAGTAGAGCCTGTTTTGCCTGTTGCTCCACCCAATTGAGCAAGTCATGTATTGCAGGGAGTTCATGTTTGTACTAATAATAATTAGTTTAATTGGTTCTCATAATGTTGTCATATCTCTGTTATTTGCTGAAGATCATGTGATTTAACCAGAAATTCAGCTCAGTGATGCCATTTGTTTTTTTATTTAGTCAATTTATTGAACATGTTGGAAACAAAACAAACAATAATATTAATTATTTAATTAATCAAGGAGAAGCAAAATAAAAAAACTTTCAAGCAAATTCTAAAATAGCCGGTCATATTCAAAAAGGGCAAGAAGAAGCTTAAAAGTGTTCTGGTCCTCCCCCCTCTAGCGTACATTGTTCATGAAAATAAAAGTTTAGGTCATCGTCATCGTCATCAGCATTCGTGATATTTGATTCATTGTTTTTAACAAATCATTTGCATGATTCATTCAGGATTTGGTTTATAAATAATTGTTTTAGATAAAGTTTAGATAAAGGAGCGCCAGCACTCATTCAGACTTTTTCTTCTTTACATCCTGCAGGTGAGAAGCCGTACCGGTGCACGTGGGACAGCTGCGACTGGAGATTCGCCCGATCCGACGAGCTGACGCGCCATTTCCGGAAGCACACGGGCGCCAAACCCTTCCAGTGCGCCGTCTGCTCGCGCTCCTTCTCCCGATCCGACCACCTCGCTCTGCACATGAAAAGACACCAGAACTAGCAGCGTTTGCACACACACACACACACACACTGCAAACACACAAGCACTATGTTGACACACCCAAAGCACTCACTTCATCTTCCACAACGTTACAAGCTGCCTGATGACACCACAGCTGCTCCTGGTGCTGCTATCCTGTGCTGAAACCGTACGATAGCCTAACAAACATGTTGCTTTTTAAACGCGAGTGGGACGAATCGGAGGTTGTAAGGTAGAACAATAATTGCCAGATGTAGTTCCTGGTCCCTTAACCTCCAGATATACTTAGTATAGATTTCTTTGGACAAACACAGAAAAGAAAAATTATAACAAAAAGAAAATGGTAGCTCCAAAATGTCTCAAGCTTTTTTTTGTTGCAAAACTAGTCAAACCACTTTTTTTTTGCTCCATGGTTTGTTAGTTTGCTCATATAACTGGAACATCCAGGTTTGAGTTTTTACCAAATCCTTCGGTTTGCACTGGAAATCTTAAATCGGAGCCTTTTTTGGCCCATGCATCTCATTCACCACTGGAAAGATCCTTATCACTACTGGACTGAATATTTGTGAACGCCACAGAAACCTTTGCTGTTCAGATATAAAACATTGAAGGCATTTATACTCTGGAGAGGGAAGATAGTGCAGGAAGAAACGAGGGAGGGGTGGAGATGAAGAGATAGAAAGATTTTAGTTTTTATAGAGAGGAGATGTGAGGACAGAGGAAGGTGGATGGATGGTAAAGAGCAGCAATTAGGTGATACATTATTCATGATGTCTTTTGATGGATTTCCAACCAGAGAAATGTAAGCAGAACCCGTAGACATATCTGAGAATTAATTCAGTTAAAACTGAATTTGACTTTATTTTGATGCACAAGCTTGAATTAAGCATCTTCAAAATACAATTACCCGTACATCTATCTCATCCAGCCTTTTTACGTTCAACGTTTTAACCAAAGTATGATCTTCATCCTCAACACCTTATAAAGTGCCTCCTTCTCTGATTTGTATGTGTTTTTGTTAAGTGGTAGCAGAGCTGTGATCAATGTAGAAAGTCCTTTTTAAACACACTTGGTGCTGTTTTTATTTCTTAATCTATTGAAAGCTCTAAAAAAAAAAAGTGAATTATTTTTAAATGACAGGTTTACCCATTATTCGTTGTGATTTAACAGATTGGCTCAGGCCACTTTACGGACATCCTGATGTTGATTTTTTTTTAATGAAATGACAGTCAGTCTTCTCTCTGACTCTGTACACAACTAATTACATTGAGGTTCTATCAGTCAATCAAACACGGACATATGTTTTGTTGAAGGAGAAGTTCACAATATTTAAAGTCTTTCTTGAAACAACATGTCCGTATATTGCAAGAGTTGTTGCTGCAAGTGTTCCTGCAGCTAGCCCCAATCAAAACATGTTCAATGTCAATGATGGGAAACAAAAATAACAGTATATGTGAAACAACATGATTATATTAGGCTTCTAATCTCAAAATAATCAGGGCAAAATAATCAAAAACACTAACTTTGTAAGATACCCAGCTGATTTTGATTGATTGATCTCAAAGAGACTTTAGTTAAAATTAGGAAGACATTTATTTTTTTACCAAAAAAGGATTTTGTTCCCCATCGCTTTCATTGATATTGCTTTAGGGAAATGTCAAGTCACACTGACTATAATGGACTATTTTAATTGACATATGAACATGAGAGTATTTTTAAAGACAGAACAAATGTGAACCTTTCAACATACGCTTGTCCGCTTTGATTGTGTGATTCAGCCTGCACCTATAACTGTATTTGTTCATTCACTGCAGGTAGCATACATATGATATAGCACTGTAATGTATCATGGTAAATCTGACTATTTATTTGTGTAGAACTGGGGGTTGTATCAGATCAACCGTCTTTCTCCCCAGCAAAAATGCCTTAATGTAAATATATGCACTGTAAATAAGTATTGATTTTATTTTTTTTTAAGTTTCCCTTTTTTGTCATTGTTTTGTAAACAAAAGGGCACAAAGAGGAAAATGCCCTGCATCCAAAAATATTTGAGCCTGTTTTTTATTTTTTTTATTTTGATGCCATTGTTTTATATATTGTCCTTCCAGCAACTTATTTTGTAGACTTGTTTTCTTCCTAGGTAAACGTTCCAAAGACAAAAGTTGTTTTTTCTTCAACTGAGTGAAACCGATCCTAATAAAGTCAACTGACACTTTTACATATGTGCTGTTGTGCTGAAGTTAATGGGACATTTCTTCTTTTACCCGCTAAGAATGACTGAATTTCAGTGCTGTACTGATCAAAGCATGCGGTACATTTAGTGTTTTTGTCCATGAGGTTTGTATTAAAGTACATTTTGTTCGAGTAAGATATTGTTTACAGACCGAATGTGGTGTTTTTAGAACAAGCCTTGACCAGGCCTAAATGAAACAAATGGGACATAACCACATTTCAGTCTCTTATAATCAAAACATGTTTTTTGTGTTGCGCTGATCCACTGTGTCAGGAATTCTCTGCCGCGATCCGACATGCTTAGAAGGTCAGTTTCAGTAAAGGGAGATAAGAAGGGGAGATGTGGAGGAGAAGCCAAGCGTTCTCTTACGGGACCTGTGAGTAACCTGCAGCACCCTCGCTGATCAACAAACAATGGTCCTTTGATGTCCCAGCAAGAGACAATGGATAAGAAAATAAATCTGACCACCACTCAGGGACCGGAGGGGAATCCCACTGAAATGGATGTACTAACACGTGCACACACACACACACACACACTCGCAACATATGTTCTTGATTTAAGTCATAAATGTGACCCAGGGTCTCTGTTGTAATCTACCTCAGATGTCAGAAAAATAAGGAGGTGGAGGGGAGAGAGTGAAAAGTGAAATGCAGAACAATCTAAACAAAGGAATCTCAGAGGGGACCCAATCAACCACTTCCGTCCTCCTAAATGTTCTCTTATTCTCCTCCTCCGCTCTTCTTATTTAATTGTATTTTCTCTCCTTCTTTGTCTTTCCATGCACCGTATCCCCCTCGCCTCCCCGGTGGAAAGTATTGTATGAAAGTCCAGGGGCGCAGCTCCATAGGTCAGAGTGGAGACTGTTCTCATAACCTGCTCTGCACCTCATCTTTTCCCCTCTTTTTAATCACACACCTCGTCCTGTCAGCTCCATCTTTTCCTCCACCTTCAACTCAAGAAGGGGAATTTTATCCTCCGCTCTTTCCTCAGTTGGCAAGTCACCCAAATTATTCAAAAATATATGAAAATGTCAACCTGCAGGTATATTTCTGAGTGTGAGAGAATATAAAAAAGTTAGTGTGAATGTTTCACACACACACACACACACACACACACACACACACACACACACACACACACACACACACACACACACAGTGGTGATGAGTGAGTGGGAACTACCGGTTCATGTTTTGGATCATCTAAATTAATGTCGCACATCTGGAATAAGGCTCCTGCCTGCTCCACCCTCTGCTGTGCTGCGTTGGTGTGATTCCCAGTTTCCGTGTGTGTGTGTGTGTGTGTGTGTGTGTGTGTGTGTGTGTGTGTGTGTGTGTGTGTGTGTGTGTGTAGGTATAATGTTTCCAGTGCTCCTCTCTTGGAACAGACCACCCACTCAGAAGACCAATAGAAGGACTACAGGGAGCCGGATAGACAGACACACACACACACACACACACACACACACACACACACACACACACACACACACACACACACACACACACACATGCAACTCCCTCCAAAGTCAACCATTCCCTAATATTCTCAGAATAGAACATATTGTTATCAGAGATGGAAGAGATACCAGAACAGCTGACATACTATCAAAAAGTTAAGAACATAATATCATAAATTGAGGAGGGTTTCATTCCCAGACACTACGGTCATTAAAAAAATTACTGCAGTGCCTGTTTCAGATGTACTAATGTTGCCGATTCTTGGGTTTCGAATTAAGACCATGGAATGAAACACTACAGTCTATCACAGCATCAGAATTAGATTTATTGCCAAATAGGTTCACACATACAGGTAATTTGCCCTGGTGTGTAATGGCTCATACATGAACACAGCTAGAGGAATTAGGTTGTAAAAAATGATCAATTATAGGGCTATTATTCAAACTTAGAAAATAAAGTATGTGCAGTATACCCGAGTTTAAAGTGGAAGGGGTATTGAAGATCAGAAATGTTAAATACAGTCTAACTCTTATGCCATATGGTTCATATTTCCTCACATATTTGTGTTAAACATTGTAAATGTCAGATGGATAATTAATGTATTATTGTTATTATTTAATTAGTGATTAAAAGAGACCCATAGGATAATTTTCGCCCCCAGCAGATTGATCCCTCCCTGACATTAACCTTTTTTAAACAGCATCAGCACTGGTTCACCACAGATCAAAGTGGCCTTTAGGCAATGGCTGAACACTTGCAGCAGAATAGTGATTTAATTAGTCTCATTTTGAAATGAAATACTTTGGTTTAAAATATTCCTTCAGCTGCTGCTATATTTATTTATTATTTGTAAATATTTTAGTTGATTTAACAGGGACAGAGCATATTAAAATACATTTATGTTAATGGAAACAAAGGCTATTTTTCTGCTATAGTACCTGGAGAAATGTGTTAAATTCACCCTAAAAATAAATCATACTATTTAAAGAAAATGACACGTTAATCAAATCATTAAAACATGCAACTCACAATACTTTAAATGGTAATAAAGACAAAAACTAAAAATACATATAACACGTAGCAAGAAGATAGTCACTGGTTTAAGCAGTACAGAAAGCCAGAGACCTGGACAGTGCCATATATTGTTTTAGTGATGATGTTTTTAAAATAAAGGACGAAGTGTTGTTTGATTCACATTCACAAGCTGTTTTATTAATTTACTTTTTGAAGTTCAAGTTCTTCGTCACTGCCTGCTTCATCATGTGAAACCCAACAGGAAGTATCAGTTGACAAGGAGTTGTAACATCACGCACAACACAGTGACTAAGAAGAAAAATATGACAAATCCATCGAACCATAAACCATCATAATGGTCAGAGTTACGAGTAAAGCAAACATTCTGGTAATAATTGATCTATTTTGTTGAACTCTGAAATCTATCATGATATGGCTGTGCCGCACAAAGCTAGTAAAGGTTTCCCTGAGTGGGTTCCTCTGCATGCACAATGAGTTCAAAGGACGAACCCATCAGGCTTCCCATATCTTTGCACCTGCTAAACACTCAGGGTGACACCCTGCGTGGGCCTTCAGAGGATACAACAAAAACCTTTTGCATTCACACTTAAAGTGCGCAAATGGAGGCCGTTTTTGTGAGTTCTTATCGTGATTTGTGTAAGGAGAAAAGGGTCTGTGGGATGTATATCATACATACACTTAATCATTGCTGTTTGCTCTCTTTAACTCCTACAGTATGGGGCGGCCCTGAACCCCTCCCTGACCAAACAGCTAATAGTTTCCTCTTGTCTTCTCACATGTTTTATGGTTTCATACTTTAGATTAGAGGTGATGAAGCACATGTGGTCGTGTTGGGTTAGTCACACTGTATGATGATTGGAGGCCAATCCAACATGAACACTTGAACACTTGAAGCATTAAATCCAAATCTAAACGGATACATATCTCTTTCTTCATAAATTCGTTTTTTTAAGGAGTGAAGATATATTTCATCCTGTTCATCTGGTTTTGTGGAAGAAATGAGTGTCCTGATAGTGAAAACAACTACAAATAAGATGAAAACATGGTATTAAAACATACAAATGTTCCCTTGATTCTTAATGTCATTATTCTGTATTTTTCTAAATGTATCTTATGAACCACAGTCTTTCTTTTCAGATTTCTAACTCCATGGTTAGATCAATTTAATATTTTCTCACCTATTATTTAACTGCACAACATTGCATAGAGCTAACACACAAAAAAAACAGTTTACAAATATGTGCAATTAATTTGTTTGCTTGTCTCTTTTAAAAAATATATAAGTTACATCTGAGTTTCCATTTAGAAAGTGTTATAGAGTCTAATTAATCTCAACCCACATGTGGTTCTGCTTAGCCCTGAAAGTAAAAAATGCCACATTACACCCACTCAAGCTGCTCATTTCCTCATTCAGAAAACATGTCAAGAGAAATTTTGCAATGTGTTAATGTTTAATATTTATAAATGTGAGAGAGTGGGGGTCAAAAATACTTTTTGTTGACTGAAGGAAATGGTATGCAGTAGACTGAGTAGTAGAGGGTCAATGACTTGTCACGATACTGATGAATACAACCTGGGGCTTCAGCACTTGATCGTTTTATTCCAGGAATGAATTTGTTCTGTTTCAATTAAAAACTTATTTTGGGAATCTTGTGTTCTTATCAAAACAAAATCCCAGTACATACACTTGTGGAGTACAATAGTGTCATTGTTAAGTGTTTTTCTTCAAATACTAACTTTAAATTGCTCGTTTTGAGGAGACAAACTCCAAAAGAGAGAGTCCCAAAGAAGCAGTACTGCTGGGACTCTCTGACATTCATAATAAGATCTATTTCTTTTGAAACATTATGCTCAGACAGGACATAAATCAAACACTCTTCACAAGTATGCATCAGTGGAGAACTGAAGTAGTTATGTTACAGGAGAGTTTGAGGGTCAGGCAAAAGAAAATGAATGATGTTTTTTTTTGCTGGGAGTTTTTAATTCTTGCCAGAAATGATCCATTGTTTCATTAAATAAAAAGCAATACCAGATTGATATACACAAATTAAAAGGAAATACAAATTGATCTATAAATGTGTCTGAGTTGATACCACTCTAGTCTTATTTGACTTTAATGTAAAATAGACTTGTGTCCATTTTGTTTTCTATTTATGTTTTAGCAGTCATCAGGTTAATCTGTTCACTGGGGTTTGTGCTTTTGTTTGAACACGACAATTACTGGGACATGATTTTCAAGTTTACTACCACTACCCTGAAGGTAATTTGGATTGCAGCCAGAAATGAAACGCAGGGAAAAGCACTGATGATAATTTAGCTACCAGCTGTAGGAGTTGATGTTTTTTATCTGTGCGTTAGATAAGCAATCGGAAAAGGTTTTTGCTTTTCAATCCCGTTACGTTTAAAGCTCAGCAATATACTGCTTTGGACGGGGTAATTAACAGAAACGTATTTTGGCCACCAAATAATATCAATATCAGTTATAAGTCAT